ATTGCAAATAACCTCTAGTGAAAATTTACCATTTCCTTCTGTTATGAATGTAGATTACAAATCACAATGGTATAACGATAGCTTTGACTTTGCCACCAATAAAAATCACAAATATTTTTATAACACGTTAGAGCTGTTGCTGGTACCTTGAAATATATTGTTTATGTTCCTTGTGACTTTGAAATTACAGTAGCTGGTAGCCGGTGAAAGTCTATTAATTAAGAGTTACATATATCACTTTCTTACCCATTTTTTCATATTTTAATCACTGTATTTCAATACAATTGGTTTCCTTTGTAATCCTATGTATTTTATTTAATGCATTTAAAAAATATATTTTCTAAGGGGTTGGAAGTCTTCATCAGGCTGCCAAGAGTATCCTGGTGCCAAAAAAGGATTGGAACCCCTGAATCAAACATTTAAAATATATATGTATATACAAGGTCTGTCCAGAAAAAGCCGAGCCATTGTTAATGTAATGAGAATGATTTGCGCAACATCGATGTAACCCGGCAGCCAAGGAGAATGGACTGGAATGTACAGGTGTGAACAATGACGACTTCACTGTACTAGTCAGTGGGGGCTGTAGATGCCATTGAATGAGTACGTGTGCCATTCTGTTGTTACATTCGAAATGACTGGGCTGGACTTTTATCAAACAGACCTGGTGTGTCTGTGTGTGTGTGTGTACTTGCAAATGTATTTTTAAAAATCACATATGATAGCATCAGTGTAATCTTTCAATAGAAACACCAACCTAACCATACCATTCTCTCTGCTTAAAACCCTTCAAGGGCCTCCCATCTCCATCCCTGTCTCTGGATAAAGTCCTAGATCCTTCTCGGGGCACACAGGGCTCTTTCCGAGCATCACACCCCTCCGAGAACGCACCTGAATTGTTTATGCCTCATTCTGTTCCTGCTGTGCTTATTCCCTCACCCAACACCTCTTCCCTCCTGCTGCACCCCATTCATCCTCCCTCATGCCCCCGCAGCGTGTCCTCTCTGCAAGCCTCCCTCAGCCCAGAAGGAGGGAGGCTCAGGGAAGGGGCCCCTTCTCCTTTGTGACCCCACTCTCTGTCTTTCCTTTGCAGTAGTGCTTGGCAGTCTGCCAACCAATGCCTGGCCTCACTCCTCGGACCCAGAAGTGCTTACTGCCAGCAGCATCCCTAGTTGCCAGGGGCTGAGGGACCAGTGGGAACAGCCCTCTATGTGCCAGCCCATCCCCACCCCTGGGTTAACCTTCAATGACCAGGGGAAATAAGTTGTGCCCCCCTCCAAGACTGTGGGCATATTTGCTGCTTCCCAACAGCCACAGGCTGCTCTGTACCCGTAACGGGTAAAGGCCGCAGTGCCCGCAGATCCCACACCTTGCCCACACCCAGGGTCCAGAGTCTTCCCTGAATTTCCTGGCACCTACATCTTCATTCCTACCTCTTGCATTCACCCTAGTTCTCCAGTGGCCCAGGACAACATTTCTGTCCCAACACTAGTGCTGCCACCTGCTGGCTGCCACCTGCAGTCCTTTATAGTTTTCAGCTACTTGTTCACATCCCTTATCCTTATTAACAACCCGGTAAAGTGGGTGTTTCTCTTATCTCATTTGTTGATAAAGAAACCTCATCAGGGAGATAAATACCTGTACAGCTGAAAATGCTCAGTGTTGCTTATCCAGAAAAACAGGCTGAGAGAGCCCAGGCTGGTGTGGCTCTGCGGATTGAATGCCCATTGCAGGAATCTCGGAGACAGATGCTGCGGCTTGGACCAGGCTAGTGGCCCCGAGCTGGGAGAAGTAAATGGGAGCATCTGAGGCAAAGGACTGGCAGGACTGGAGACCCGGAGCGGGAGCGTATTTGTTGAATGAGTGTCTGATGAACAGGTTTGATGACCAAGTTCCCACTTCTATGGATGCAGGTATTGATTGACATCAGACACATGTGAGGCCAAGGGAAAAGATTCCCCAGGGATCTCTCTTTGGGATGCCCAAGGGGCTGGCACCTGACTCAGAACACAAACAGCTCCCCAACCTCAAACCCAGGCCCTCTAAGGTTCAACCAATAAATGTCAGCAAGGCAATGCCAGCCTCCCTGAGTCTCAGTTTCCGCACCTCCCAATTCGAGTACTGAGACCCGCTGTGGCACAGAGATGAGATGCGGGGAATGAGCTGAGAGGGAACCTCTGCCTGACCCCGGAACTCTCCGTGCCAGCTCACCTCTGCGTTGCCCAGGGGCTTCTAGAGAGTTCCCTTCTCCCTCCCAGGTAGGGGCGGGCCTGGAAGTTTAGGAAATTCCCAGAGTGATTCAGGGAGGCCACAGCGGTTGGTGCCGGGTGAGCGTTTCCTTCCCTCCTCCCGGGAGCTCTGACCCACCTCTGAGCCGCAGCCACCTTCGGCTGTCTGGGGAAGGCTGTGGCCCTTCTCGGAACACTGCTTTGAAAGGCACAAGATAAAATGCATAGGATACCAAAGGAAACTGATTATTTTGAAATTCAGCTATAAAAACATGAAACAATGAATTGCTATTCAGACACAGGTGCTTCTTCAGGAATGCATTGAATAAGATCTGGTGTCGGTGTAGTGACCACCGTGATTTCCAAATGGTGATAAATGGAAACACTACTTCGAGATACATCCTTAGATAACTGTAGCAACTGACCTGTGTAGGCATCTAACAGCTAACAGCCGCAGTCAATCCCGCGAGGAAATCACCCACAGTACCATTAATAGTTTTGTTGTCTATGTTCATAACCTTAGGTAGATGTTAGCAAAAAAGTAAGAGTTTCCCCACTGGACTTCACAGATTTTTGGAATTCCATGCCCAGTTAAGAACCCCATGAACCAGGAAGAACAGGTCAGCAAGTTTTACCACAGCTGCACAGACTCCCAGGAAGGTGGGACAGGGACACGGGGCCTGAGCCACCAGGGCCAGGGAAGGCTCCTGGATGGAACTGTGAAACCAGTTTCGGGCTTTGACCCAGAGACAGGTAGACAGACACAGAGGGGCACAGAGAAGTTGTAATGCTGGTGAAGGAGCCTCAGACTGAACACGCCAGAGCTCGCAGGGGCCGGTTGAACGACTAACAGCCCCCTTTGGAGTGTGGAAATGGGGTCTGGGAAGTGAAAGGACTTGCGTAGAGTTGGGTAACAGGAAGTGCCAGGGCCCACGGTGGACAGTTCTCTTTGGATTCCGTGCCCTCTACACCCCAGTAGCTGCAGTGAGCCTAAAGCTGGGGGCCACCCCTCAAATGCAAGGGATCGAGCTCAGGGTAGAAGGTATGATCGAGAAGGCATGATCAAAGCTCAAAACCTGTGGCCTGTTTTCTCCACTTGCTTGTGTGACTTTGAGACATTTACTCAATGTATCTGCACACTGGTTTCGTGCCTGTGAAATGAGAACAACCGTCATCACCTCAGAGAGCAGCTACATGCGACTGAAACACCTCTGAAGCGCAGCACGGAGAGCACGCTGCTTGGCACGAGGCAGGCCTGGGGCCCTTCTGTGTGGTGATCAGCAGAGTTTTCTTCTTGGTTCAGCACAGTGACGGTCTCCCCGGCCCCCCTTCTTGGGGAGCCGCCAGGGTCCACAGGGGCCGGCCTGCCCTTAGCCCCAGGGGAGGATGAGTAACTGGTGGTTCAGTCTTTGCAGGTGAAAAAGTGGTTGAGGAAACAGCAGCCTCAGCAGAATCAGCCTCCTGCTGCGGGAGGAGTAGGGGTGGCTCTCTGGTCAAGGGTCAAGGTGGCCCCACCCCTGGAGCCCAGGAGTTCAAGTTTGGGGTGAGGAGAGGTGGTAGAGTTTGTTGGAAAGAGAGCCAGCCAGGGATCGGCCAGACCTGGCTCTCCGGCAGGGCTGTGCGCAGCACCGCCCCAGGACCTCCAGTCAGCACTACAGGGTGGGGAGAAACCTCCCGGGGCTGTGCAGTCAGACACCTTTCCCGGGTCCCTTGCTGCCTCCGCCGCTCCCTAGTTCTGTGGCCTCGAGCAAGCCACTTACCCTCTCAAGCTCATCTCCAAGGGGACCACCATGCCCACCTTAATGGCTGTTTGAGTTTCTGTAACAACGAAAAAACAAGCTCCTAAGAATTGCTCCAGAAACAGCAGCTTCTTCTTCCCCCAGGCCACCCCCGGGGACCCACCCCAAGCTTCAGGGTACTAAGGGGTTGCGATACTGAAGGGTGAGCCCAGCCTGTAGCAAGGGTGGGAGGGAAACAAAGAGGGCAGGGCAGCTGAGACAGGTAAGAGACGAGGGGCCCCCCAGGCCCACTGTCCCAGCGTGCAGTGCCTTCTTTTGGCAAAGAATTGGCAGGTGCTCCTGAGGAGGTGAGGATATAGGCACCAGTCTCCACCCCACCCAGGCTTCCTTTTGGCTGATAACCCTGGCACGGTTTTCCCGCCATTCCCAGCGGGGATTCCCAAAGGCTTTTCCGCCATTCCCAAAACGGAGTGATCCCTTCATGCAGGAAAGCTTTGCCCTGAAGCCTGCTGAGTCTTGAGCTCTGAGGATCCAGATGCCACAAAACTGACTGTCCTCACGGAGCTTACCTCATAGCAGAGGGACCAAACGCTAATTAAATCATTACACAAATAAATACATTCTACGGGCTCTCAGAAAGCCAGGGAAGCCAGAGTACCAGCCAGGGGCCACGTTGCCCAGGCACCAGCCTGGCAGCCCCCATCTCATCGAGGGCCCCTCCCCTCAGCCCTCTGCAGTCTCCTTGGGCTGGGTGGGGCCTAACAGCCAACTCCAGACTCTCTAGCCCCTTCTGTGGGGCTGGATCATAACATCTGGGCTCCCCAAAGTCAAAGACAAAGTGGGGGGTGCCTTGCTTTGTTTTTCATTTCCATTTTGAAATGGAACCAGGGACTCAAAGATCAGTGACTGTGGGATTCATAGGCTCTCTCCACACTGTCATCAATGGCCTGTTTTCTCTGGGGAAAGGAAGTGACAACTCTGGGATACAGGCCTGTCCCCTCCAAAAGCTCTGTTGCTCTCCTCCTGCCCTCAGAAAGTCTACTGTGGCTACTCCATCATCCTCATGGCACTCTTCTGGAGCACGGAGGCTCTGCCGCTGGCTGTCACTGCCCTCTTGCCCATCGTCCTGTTCCCCATGATGGGCATAATGGATGCTTCCGAGGTGAGCCACCCTCCCCCACCACCTGCCCACATGTGGAAAGGCTCTGGGGAAGGAGGGGTCTACTCCCACATGCTGGGAATCCAGGAAGACCCTCAGAAGCAGGCCACACAGAAGAGGGGTCCCTGCCCCTGCTTGGCAGGTCAGAGAGCACTGAGGGAGGAGTCAGCTAGAACACAAAGGGGGAGGACATGCTAGAAGCACCGAGTGCAAGGCTGGTGTCGCCAGCTGATTCAAAGTGGGAGTGATTAGAGTTGAGCCAGGGAGTTGGAAAGGCCCGGTCACAGGAAATCCCACCAAAGAGCTTGATTCCTCCAGGTCAGTGGCTCTTAAACTTGAGTGTTCTTAAACAGGACAGCCGGTTAAAACACAGATTGCTTGGCCCACCCCAGAGTTTCTGATTCAGCAGATCTGGGCCAGGTCCTAAGCATTTCATGTTTAGTCAGTTGGAAGAACCACGGCTCCAGTTTCTAGAAACAGCACTAAATTATCATCTCCCAGTCCATGGCTGTAAACAGGAGTGGGATCAGGCTGGATTCCCTCCCAGTCACTCCTGAGGAGAGGAAGGATGAGTTTGGCAGGAAGAGAGGAACCTGGTTAATGCTGAATAACGGGCAATCCAAAGATCGTTTCCATTTGGTTCCAAGAGCCCAGAGACCGACCTGAGTCTGTGGGAATGTCGGGGCTGTACCCCGTAAGCCCAGGGGCCCAGTAGGAGGCCCCAGGGTCTTCCTGCCTCTCAGCTGTCCCTGCCTACCAGGTCTGCCTCGTGTACCTTAAGGACACCAATATCCTATTCATCGGCGGGCTGATGGTGGCCATTGCGGTCGAGCATTGGAACCTGCACAAACGCATCGCCCTCCGAGTGCTCCTCATCGTCGGGGTGCGGCCCGCTCTGTGAGTTCCCACAAACCAGGACAGGAGAACCCAGGGCCGGTGGCATTCAGGGTATCCAATGCCTGAAGGGACACTTGAACACCAGTGAATCTGACTGTCCGTCCCTAGGCTGATGCTGGGCTTCATGCTGGTCACAGCCTTCCTGTCCATGTGGATCAGCAACACAGCCACCACGGCCATGATGGTGCCCATCGCACACGCCGTCCTGGAACAGCTGCACAAGAGCCCCGCGGGCCAGGACCTCGAGGAGGGCAAGGACAACCCCACCTTTGAACTTCAGGAAGCAGGTTTCCAGAAGGAAGCGACCAAACTTGGTGAGAAAGATGAGGCCAGACCTTGCCCCAGCCCTTCAGCTCTCGGGGAGGGTCTGAGGAGACATCCATTCCCAAGGGTGGTCATCTTGGACCCTTTAGGGAAAGAGGGAGGCGAGAAGAGCTGTGGCCAACTTGTTCTGGTTTCCCCGGGATTTTCCTGGTTTTAAACCGTAGAGTCCCATGTGCTGGGAACCCCCTCAGTCCTGGCAAAACCAAGATGCTGGGTCACCCGGCAAGCAGAGCTGGAGTCTGGGTGGATCATCAGGGCTCCAGGCTCTGTTCCTCCTGTGTGCTTTGGATGATCCTGTGCCCTTTTCTAGGCCTTGGTTTCCCTCTCTCAAGAGAGATTGGGCCAGATGGTGTCTGGGGCCATCCTAACCTGAGGCCCCAGGGAGTGCTGGGCCCTGCAGACCTGGAGGCAGCCTCTGCCCCCAGCAGCCCAGGTCTGGGCTGCTCGCTGACAAGGTGCCTTGCCTACACCCGAGCGGCCACGGAGCCTCAGCCACAATCCCCGGAGCTGACCCCCACACGCACTGCCCAACCTGAGCTCTCTCTTGGTCCCAGATAATGGGCAGGTCCACCCTGTCCCACCTGGTCCTTTGAAGTCAAAGTCTCAGAGGGACCAGGAACAGCTCCGCTTTTCCCAGGGCATGAGCCTGTGCGTGTGCTACTCGGCCAGCATCGGGGGCATCGCCACACTGACTGGCACCACACCCAACCTGGTGCTGCAAGGCCAGGTCAACGAGTGAGTGACTGAGGCACTCCCGCTGGGGGAGGTGGGGCCTGGTGGTCACCAGCAATGTCAATAGCAGCCTGCGTCCTCCTTCAGGCTCTTCCCGCAGAATGACAATGTGGTGAATTTTGCCTCCTGGTTCGCCTTTGCCTTCCCCACCATGATCATCTTGCTGCTGCTTGCCTGGCTGTGGCTTCAGGTCCTCTTCCTGGGGTTCAAGTAAGTGGTGGAATGGGTGAGAGAGGCCCAGGTCCCTGCCCCCACCCCCCGGGAGCTTTCAGTTGGGTGCCCAGATAGCCATGGTGGAAAAGGGTAAAATCACCATCCCAGTGAGAAGGCCTCTCCTTCCCCAGGCCCCTCGGTGCACTTGGCCACCCCTCAGTCCCCCACCCTGTTTGAGGTAATAACTGGGCCAAGAGTATTATTATCCCAGTTAGCAGTTGAGCAAACTGGGGCTTAAGGAACAGTACACAGCCAGATTTGTGTACTAGTGCTGTGATTGAAAACCGGGTCTGCTGCCCAGGCCAGGCCCTGTTCCACAGCACTCCACAGTCCTTTGGCGGGTGCTTAAGGAAAACGCACTGAGCGTGGTCAGTTGCAAAAGCCTTTGCTGTGCTTCTGCTGGATGTCTGGCCCTGTGCTGGGCACCTAGGACACTGAAAGACATTGGGCACTGTCCCTGTCCTTGGAGCTCCCCCTCTGATGGGTGAAAGCATGGTGGGGCCATGACACCGGGAAGCCCAGGTGCTGCAGGAGCACAGCCCATGAGTGTGGGGGCTCCAGAGCCCCTGGAGGAGAGGATGCGGGAACTGAATCTTGTGAAACTAGAAATCAGCCAGGTAGACAATAGGGTAAAGGCGTTCGAGGCAGTGGGAACACCGTGTACCAAGGCACAGAGGCAAGAAAGAACATGACATGTTAGGGATAACTCTAGTTCTGTGTGGCTGAAACATAAAGAGCAAAAAGGAGGTCCTGGCTGGTGTGGCTCAGTGGGTTGAGCACCAGCCTGTGAACTCAAGGGTCGCCAGTTCAATTCCCGGTCAGGACACATGCCTTGGTTACGGGCCAGGCCCCCAGCTGGGGGCGTGCAAGAGGCAACTAATCAATGTTTCTCATGCACATTGATGTTTTTCTCTTTCTCCCTTCCTCCTCCTCTCTCTAAAAAAATAAATAAAATCTTTTTTTAAAAAAAGGACAAAAAGGAGTATCAGGAAAGAAAGCTAAGGAATACGCACGGGAAGGATTTCAGATGATTTCCTGTGCATGTAAAGAGTTAGAACCTTGCCCTGGATGGTGTGGTTCCGTGGATTAAGTGCTGGCCTGCAAACCAAAAGGTCATAGGTTTGATTCCCAGTCAGGGCACATGCCTGGGTTGCGGGCCAGGTCCCCAGCTGGGGATGTGCGAGAGGCAACTGATCGATGTATCTCTCACACATAGATGTTTCTCTCCCTCTCTTTCTCCCTCCCTTCCCCTCTGCCTAAAAATAAATAAATAAAATCTTTTTAAAAAAACTATAGTATAACTATACATAAGGAAAAAAAGAGTTGGAACCTTGTCCTTGAGGCCGAGTAGTAAATAGATTTTATTCCAACTAATAACCCTCAATTACTTGTAGTCACTGGAGTTCTGAGCTGAAAATCACGTGAGCCCTCGCTGGCTCTCCATAGGAATAGAGTCTGGGACTGATCAGTCACATCTGCTGAGAGACAGGATATGAGAGTGGATATGAGTTGTGTTGTGCTATGAGTTATTTGCCCTTCCTGCCCGAGCAGTGGGGAGCCACGGAAAGTTTTTAAGCATTGTTGCTGCACTTCAGAAAAATCGCTTGGGCAGGTAAGAGGAGGATGGATTGAGCTTGGGGACTCATACAAGGCAAGATGGTAGTCAGCGGGCCCAGCACAGCGCCAGGCACTGTGGGGGATTCAAAGATGAGTGAAGCATGTGTTCTGCCCTTGAGGAACTCACCATGCAGCACGGAAGTTGTGCTTTGCCCAAGTGAAAAGTTAAAGGTCAACATGAGTTAAGTAAGTGGCATACAGAAATGGGCTAAAGCCTTTTTTTTTTTGGCCTCTGGGGACGATCTGGGTGGGGCTCGGGCTGGCAGAGGATGCCCAGAACCTGGCAGGAGAGGGACGGGAGGATTTCCTGAAAGGCTGTTGGAGGTGGGGAGCAGGGAGTCAGAGCCAGACAGAGGCATGGGGTCGGGGCCTCCAGGTCCTCCTCACTCTGGGCGGGGGAGGGCTTGGCTCAAGAGAACCTTGGAAGGGACGGGGTGCAGTGGGGCAGATGGAGCAAGGCCAAACATGGGGAAACCTGGCCCCCAGCCCCAACCTTTTCTGTGCCTCATGACCCCCTCCCCAAGTCTTCTGCTCCTCTCCCAGAAAACTGAGCGGATCCAGGGCCTTGGTGTAGCAATTCTGAGGGTCTCTGCAGGCCTCAGCCTCTACAGCACACGCACTCAGAGCCCCGTGCTCCCATGCCTGCTGCGAGACCCTCATGGGCTGCCCCGCCCCTCTGCCCGCAGCTTCCGGAAGAACTTTGGCTTTGGGGGACAGGTGCAGGAGCAAGAGAAGGCGGCCTTCCAAGTCATCAGGAAAGAGCACAAGCAGTTGGGCCCTATGACCTTTGCAGAAATTACTGTCACATTCCTCTTTGTCCTCCTGGTGCTGCTCTGGTTTACTCGGGAGCCAGGCTTTTTCCTCGGCTGGGGCAACCTGGCTTTTCCCGATGACAAAGGGAAAAGGTAAGCATTCTGTGGGGAGGGGAATACTTTAGGGGCTCACCTAGCTGAAGGAGGAGGGAGGGGAACAGGGCCCCCAGAGAAGAGCAGGAGGTAACACTGGAGGGAGGGTAGGGGACACTTGCCAGGAGTTGACACATCTGTGAGAGGGGCCCCTCTCTACCACCTCCTCCACCTTGCATCCCTGAGCACCCCTGAGCTACTAAGCCTGCCCTCCCTGCCCCACCCATAGCATCGTGTCCGATGGGACAGTGGCCATCTTCATCAGCATAATTATGTTCATCGTGCCCTCCGAGATCCCAGGGCTGACTCAGGATCCAGGTAAGCCCCTGGACTGGGGCAGGGAAGGGCCTCCGGGCAGCCCCTGCCTTCTGGCATGAAATGCATTTAGACCGTATTTGGCAGGAGTAGACAAAGCCCTGAGAGGCTGGTGTGACTTGCCAAGGACACAAGGACTCAGGGACCCTCCCACACACATCGAGCTCTGATAGGGACCCATACAGGAGACCCCAGGGGGAAGGGGAGGAAGGTCTGTTGACTGTTGGTGACCCGTCCTCCTGTGCCCGCGGAGCAGAAAAACCAGGGAAGCTGAAGGCCCCTCCTGCCCTTCTCAACTGGAAGACAGTGAATGAGAAAATGCCCTGGAATATCATGATCCTGCTGGGAGGCGGCTTTGCCCTAGCCAGGGGCAGTGAGGTGAGGACCCCGACCCCTCTGCAGCCTGTTTGAGGGAGACCCTGTGTCAGGGAAAGAGGGGCCATGCTTCTGTCCCTGACAGGGGAGACTTGATCCCCACTCTGGAGCCCCCTGGTGGCAGAGTCTTTGCAGCTGCCTGCTAGAGAGAGGCTAGAGTGTCCTCTGAGAGAAGGGGAAGAAACACCAGCCACAGGGATCTTTCCTGGGTTGGGTTCTCAAAGCCAAGGGGAGGCAGATTTCTCTGGTGGGTGGACACTGTTCTCGGTAACCACTCACCCACCGCACTGCACTCTCTCATCCCTTCCAGACAGAGAGTGCAATGACTAGCACCTGGGAGTAGCAGGCTTTGGGTTGAAAAGGGTCAGCCTGCTGTAGCCACCAGGGGGCGTTGTGATCACACCCAGCCAGGTTCTGGGACTAGGGCATCAATCATTCCCAGGGCCTCCACCCAAGAGGGGAATCCTGGAACCTGCACCCCTGGGCCCCAGTGTTCCCGCTAAGCCCATTCACTCACTGCACACACAGGAGGCAGTTCCCCAGGGTCAGGTTTTGGTGCCAGGGAGTCCTAGGTCTGAAGTTAGTTCATCCATCAAGCATTCACCAATTGTGCCAAGCCCTGTGCTGGGCGCTGGGTAGCCAGCCACACTGGGGCTCACAGTCTGGCATTACAGATATGGACAGTGCAAGACCTCAGGGCTCTTCTGACCCCATGGACTTCCCCTGCCTCCCCTCCCCCCTCTCCCCACCCCACCCCCATCAGTCTCTCTGCTCATCTCCACCAGGACCCTGCCCTGCCCTCCCTCCTCTGAGACTGCCATGAGAGCCGCTGGGCTTGAGGGGGCAGACCGAGGCTAAGGTTGGCCAGGGACCTCCTGAGAGAGGTCGGGAGGAGTCTCTACTCCTGCCAAGTCCCACATTTCCCAAAAACGTCCTTTGACCCCCTTTCTGAGCTTCTCATCTGCTCCTTCTCCCCACACTCTGTTCTTCAAGAGCAGGAGAAATGGCCCCTTGGTTCTAGCTGGGTCTTCCCTCCCAAGCTGCTCTTGATTTTGAAAAATCTTGAGAGGTGTGGACAGGAAGAGGACCCTCCCTGAGCCTCAGCAGGGGCTCTAGGAGCCCAGGCAGCCCAGCCTCTCACACACCACCCTCTTCTGCCCGCAGGAATCGGGCCTGTCAGCGTGGCTGGGGCAGAAACTGACCCCACTGCAGGATTTGCCTGCTCCCGCCATCACCTTCATCCTCTGCCTCCTGGTGGCCACCTTCACCGAGTGCACCAGCAACGTGGCCACCACCACTCTCTTCATGCCCATCCTGGCCTCCATGGTGAGCGAGCCCTGCAGGCACACCTCCTGCCCACCGCCACCCAGGGTCCACTGTATGGGTCACAGTGACTTGTCTGCACCTCCTTTTATTTTGAGGAGAGGACCTCTGAGCTACTACCCTTCCCTGGGCTCTCCAGCTACTTGGGCCCAAAGCTCTCTGGCCCCTGACTCACCCCATCCCTGGTGACGTCACCCCTTGAGTATCCTGATGAGGCCAGTGGCCTCACCCACCTCCCCAGCCCAGCCCCTGTTCTGGTCATTCCTGAGGTGATGGGGTGACATTGCTCCCAAGAGCGTCCCCAGCCCCTTCCTCCCAGGCGCGTTCCTGCAGCCTTTGATGATACCCCGAGCCCCTTTGAGATCCATTTTATGGGCCCCTCCCCTCACCACGTCCTGCAGGGCAGGGCTGCACAGTCATTCTCTCCAGAGAGGTCAAGAGGCCCTTCCCAGGTCACCCAGTGCCTTCTGGCACAAGGGGTGGGTTCATGGCCAGAGTGTGTGTTTGGGGTGAGAAGCAGGAGAATTGGGGGGCCACACCTCTCCCTCTGGGGTGAGGACGGCCAACAACTCTGCCCCGATGTCCCCCCCAGGCCCAGGCCATCTGCCTCCACCCTCTCTATGTCATGCTCCCGTGCACCCTGGCCGCCTCCCTGGCCTTCATGCTGCCTGTGGCCACCCCGCCCAATGCCATCGTCTTCTCTTTCGGAGGCCTCAAAGTGTCTGATATGGTGAGTGGCAGGGGCCCCAAATGTCTCAGCACTCCTCCCTGCTCTGTCTTCCCATCTTGGTTGACTACAAAGTAGTATAAAGCCCCTGATATTGTCAGGGTTCAGAGTGGATGCTGTCTGGGCTAGGAAACAGCAGGGAGGTTGGGACATGACCCCCAGTTAGAGCACCTTTAGGCCCTGCCAGGCCCAGGCCATGTGGGTGGCAGAGACAGGGGTGAGGAATTTAGGGAAGGTTCAAAGGTGCCAAGCAGCCACACCCAGGGAGATGAACGCAGAGGGAACAAGGCCCAGGACCCTGGAAGCTCATGAGGAGCTTCTCCTTCCCCTGTTAGCACTGGAGTAAGGCAAGAGGCAAAGGCATTGCTTAGTGCTGCAGGTTAGACACAAGGGAGGACTTCCCAAGGATGATCTTGCTGGTGAGAGCTCCTGGACACCTACAGATACCGAAGGGGTGGGTGCTGGCACAGCTCAGCACTGGCTCACTCACACGGACTCTCTGCAAACCAGGCCCGAGCGGGATTCCTGCTCAACATCCTCGGCGTGCTGGTCATCATGCTGGCCATCAACAGCTGGAGCTACCCCATCTTCAGCCTGCACACCTTCCCCTCCTGGGCCCACCTCAACACCACCTCCCAGTGCTTGTCTGGCCAGGCAAACGCCACCATGCCTGGCCCCTAGACCAGGGTATAGTCTGGCCGAGACCAGGAAGACCCGACCAGTCCCTACTCCTGAGTCGGGTGGAGACACCCAGGCTCCAAGCCAAACAGGGAGAGGAAGGGACATGTGCACACAGCCTGGTGTGTGCCTGTTGGGGGCTGTGTGTGCACTCAGTCCTGTGTGTCTGAAGACAATGTGTATATAGTATGTACATGTCTGTATGAGGATGTCTGAGAGGGGGTTTGTGTGTGTGTGTATGATCCTAAGGATACGTGCTTAGCAGCACATGCGTGTAAGTTCACAGATGGTACGACATGCCCTCTCTGGCACCCCAGGTCTTGATTTCCCCAGCTTGGTGCGTGACCCCTTTGTACTATATTTATTGAAGCTCAAGATTGGGGTGGCCTGGGTAGCAGGGCCTACCAGCGGTTGCCATGGCAATAGCCTCTGGGACCTGCCCAGCATACTGTGTTTTCCCAGCCTTTCTGGTTTGGGGAAAGGGTGCGAATATTAGTCACATTAAAGCTTTTTTTAGTCGAGTCTGGAATGGTTTTTCACAGTGCTTTCCAGGGCCGGTCCACCCCCCGATTCAGGCCCTAGGTTGGGGATTATGGCGGGAAGGGGCCTGGCCTGTGTCCTGTATGGTGGCCCCCTTGGCACCCCTCCCACCCTAGGGAGAAGGTAATGGCCAGGAACCCTTGCCAAGGCCAATCGGAGTGGGCGCAGCCACCCAGGAAAGCAGCACTGACATCACCCGGCCTGGCTAATTGGGAGCTGCCAGTCCCTGCGTGTCTTTGGGAAAACCGGCCTCCAGGTTCCCAGAGCACTCCCTGGGCATTTACATAAAACCCGCTGCCCCTGCCAATTCCTCACCGACCCTTCATCCAGCCAGAAAAACCAGTCGCGCCAGGCCAGGGGAGGCGGGCTGACCCATGCTAAGTGCCCACAGAGACAGACCCTCACCCACAATGGCTGCCTGCAGCAAGAGGGATGCAGGTGAGACTCGCAGGAGCAGGTTCAAAATGGGCACAGCCTTCAGAGTCCAGAACCCGACAACACTCTGGATCGTTCTGCCTCCCCACCTCACCTCCACGCCTCCCCTGCCTCCCTGCCTTCATGAACTCCGAGTTTTTTCTATCTGGCAAGGTGAGATGTGGGAATGGAGAAGGGTGGTACCACACCCATCACCCTGGGAGACCGACATCCCTTCCTGGCTGGAAGTTTATCTTTGCATCAGTCCTAAGTCTCTCTCATTGCGGACAGTGGTATCTGGATGGAAGTTTCCAAAAGTCTCCTCCACTTCCTTCCTGTTGCAGTGGGAGAAAAAAAAAAGATATTTGCCATCACTCTCATGCCCAATAAATTAGGGCCAAGTTGTAAAGAGAGAGAACCAGAAAGAATTTAATTCTGGATTTTCTCTGGTCTGGGCCTTCGCTCAGCACTCCCGGAGCTGGTGTTCGAGGGTGGTGGGCAGGTGCAGAGGGGAGGGACCTGCTGCAGGAGGGAGAACGTGGCTGTCCCCAGGGGACAGGGGATCCTGACAGGACATGCCAGACAGCCAGCGGAGTGAGGAGTGTCAGGAGAATGGCTCCACCCCCACCCCAGCCCCCCAGGCTGGCATTCCTCATTTATGAAGCACATCATAAATCACGGCTCCCACCCAGACTCACACTGAGACCCCGACAAGGCCCCAGGCAATAGCTCCCCTGCTCCCCGCACCCCCGCCACCAACACCTTTGGGAATGGGCCAGATGCAGAATGGTGGGACTCCTTCAGAGGCTTACCCACAATGCAATGGGTTTCTAAGGAGCAGCCCCAGCCTCATCTGCAAGGAGAATTCTGTGCTACCACTTTCCTCTAGACGCTGGTTGGGTCCCCTAGTCCAGCCCTGGCTGGGGAAGAGGTGAATGTGCTTCTGGGGGAGGAGGGCACATGCCCCACCCACCACTATCAGCTCCCCTTCATACCCACCCCCTAACTTCCCCCTCAGTACGGCTCAGAGAGGGCCAGAGGTGGACTGAGATCACACAGCAGTCCCAAAGGATCAAGACTGGGCTGGCCCAGCCTTCTCCAGGGAGGAAGTAGGTGAAAGGTGGCCCGGGGGTTGGGGGTCAGCTGTGGTGGGTGCCCTGGCAGATCTTGGGGTCCAGGCCTCCCCCAGGCGCTCAGAAACCCTTCTCAGCAGGTGGGAGGGCAGACAGGAGGCAGGCAGCACCTGTCAGCATAATCACCGTCATTAGCTGGGCAATAAAGCAGCACGGACCAGGCCAGCCTTTGAAAGAAGGGCCTGTCCGCCCAGGTCAGGTGTGCGCAGACTCGGCCCTTCTGCACACCAACTCGGGGCTGTGGCGGGTGGACGGGGCCCTGCGGGGACAAGGGTCTGCACTCTCTCGGCCTGTGCATCCATGCCCTTCACCCACAGCTTCCACAAAACATTCCAGCTGCTTTGGTTGTCTCCGACCAGCTGAATGCGTGCAGTGAGGGACTCAAGAATGGCCCCGGAAGTGAGCTCCTCATTGCTGGAGGAGATCCACGAGGCCAGAAGCAACTTGAGGACAGTCTGCCTGGTGCAGCTGTGTCCTCAGTTGCTAGCACAGGGCTCGGAACAGTGACTATTGTATAAATGAATGAATGTATCAGAGGCAGAGGGGGCTTCTTGCTCCTGGAAGAAAGTTGGACATGCTGCCCTCAGAGCCCCTTTCCAGGCTGCCGTGTGACCGGGAGGCATCTTGGTCTCTCTGGGTCATTGTCACCTGAGGCTCAGCATAGGTCCAGATTTCTGAGCCAGCTCCTACTGTCTTCCCCTGCCCCTGTCCCCTGGGGTCACGGGAACGGCCCTGTTTGCCTCACCCTTTTGCCTGTTTGCCTGTTTGCCTAGCCCCAGCCCCAGAGACCACTGTGGCAGCCAGAGTGCCTGGGAAAAAGATATCAAGCCAAGTTTTTTGAGGAGAAACGTGCAGGGTAGAAAGGGGGCCCTTGTTATGAGATGGAGAAGGTGGAAGCGGGGCTCCTGACCCCATTCTCTGGGTTCGCCTTGACTTGGGCTTAGGTGAAGGGCAGCTCTAGGGGTTAGTGTGCTCAACCCCAGAGTAGGGCCCCTGGGGGCTCAGGCCATGACTTCCCCGTCTCCCCAAAGCCTCAGAGGAGAGGCTGCTTCCTGAAGAGGGAGGGGTGAACCGTGCAGGGGGGAGGGTGGTACAGCCAGGGTACCGGGTGAGGGGTGAGGGATGGGTTAAGAATGGTATGGGTGAGGTTCTGGCAGGGACCCAGCCTGAGGAGGGTGTCCCCTGCGGCCTCCACCCCAGTCCGGGCCCCATGAGTCGTGATTATCAGCACCATGAGGTTTACCGGGGCAGGGTTCTGAGAGCCCTCAACCTTAGGGAAGGGAGAGGGGAGAGAAGGGCACGTGGAAGTCACCGGAAGGGACCAGAACAGGCTGATAGGAAAGATTGTGACAGGAAGGAGTTACTCTTAAGGGTGGGAGACGCACACAAATGCACACGCAGAGATACGGATTCTCGGGTGCACATAGAACAACTCTCAGACCCGAGCACAGAGACGGACGCCTGCATACACACAGTTACACACGCAAACACTCGTGTGTGCAGTTCCTCACAGGCACACACAGCTCTTCTACACCCAGAGTCATTCACAGACACACACACACACACACACACACACACACACACACACACACACACGGAGACACAGATTCTGCCACGCACACGCCCAGCATCACGTTACAGCTCCACAACTTAACTGCACACCCTTGGTGGCACCTGTGAGCCTGAGAACAGAAATGTAAAAACTCACACACTCACTCTCACGCACAGTGAACACGCACTCAAACGGGGAACGCACACACTGAACGGCTCCTCCCCGCCTGCATGACCGCACCTCTCTGTAGCAGGAGGGATTAAGACAAGACAGGAGAAGCCTGCCCTCCCCACCCACAGGACTCTAGCTATGTCCCTCCCTACTGGACCCCCCCACCAAGCTCAGGGCTTGGAAACTCCCTGGATTTCCCAAAGGGTCAGCCAACCAGAACAGGCTCAGACCTCCGGACCCAGCGCCCCTGCCACACACCCTCCACAGCTCCAGCCTGCACTCCTCCATCACCCACAGCCCCAGTGCTGCCTGGTCCCCCCTCAGAAGCCTGTCCTGATTAGTCCCAGACCTCTCCAACCCTTCCTCAACAGGGGGTCCTCCAGCCTCAGGGCCTCGTGGCAGCTCTGCTTGGACCCAGATCCTCCACAGATGCTCCTAAGTGTCTTCCACACCAGTAGAGTGAGACGGAAGACCTGGGAAGTAGCAGGCCCAGTCTTGGAAACCCTCTCTGGGAAGACAAGTCCAGCTCACATTCAGCAGAACTGGACAGAAGATGGCCAGCCCTAATGTGGGCACAGGGAGGGGGCCCTCAACCAGCACACTGGGGCTGCCAAGGGTGGGAGCAAGCTCTTCCTTCTCCCTGGAGTCACCAGAGTCTTGCCTCAGACCGCAGCCTGGCGGACATTGGCCCCAGGGGTTTTCATCCCTCGGCGGGGCCACCACCAGCTCAGAGCAGCCCAGCCCTGGGCAGAGCTCAGCCGCAGACAGTGAACCAGTCCTGACCTTCAGGCTTCAGAAAGACAGAGCCTCCCCCGACCCAGGATGTGTAACTAGCTCCAGCTCCAGCTCCAGCCCGTCCAGGCCAGAGCCCAGCTCAGCTACAGCTACAGGCCCTGAAATCAGGGTGCTGGAGTGTGGAGTGTGGGGGCCCAAACCTCCAGCAAGAAGTCCTTTCCAAGGGGACCAGAGCCGACACTACGGCAGCTGAAGTTGAAGCTAGACACCAGGACAGACTTTCTGGGCCTAGGAGAGAATTCTGAGGGGCTGGTGTGATGAGAGAAGGAAAGGATGGTTCTGCCTGGGGCAGAGAAAGAGAGGAAGGACCCCCACAACCCCTTGCATTCTGAGGTTCTCTGGAATTCCTGAAGCTCCTGCTTCAGCGCCCAGACCGCATGCACTGAGGAAACGGAGCTTCCCAGAGGAAAGAGGGAGCCGGCGTCCGCACCCGCTCCCGGGGCAGAGGTGGATCCTGTCTCGTCTCGTCTCGGGAGAGAGAGAGGTCCATGTCACCCCTCAGAAGCAGAGTCTCACTGTGGAAAGGCAAAAGCCACCCTCTTTCCTATCAGCCCATCACAGCCTTCCTGCGACCCTTGGGCCCTGAATTAATTTGCAATTCCTTGATTGTTAATGAAGTTGAAAAACTTTTCATTTGTTTATTGGCCATTTGCATTTTATCTGTGAATACTTATTCATACCCTTTGCCCCATTAGTCTGTGAGGTTGTTCTTACTTATTTAGTATATATATATTACTTTTTATATATTACGGATATCAACCCTTTGTTACATGTGTGGTGACACTTCCTTCCAGGCTGTTTTTTCGTCTCTTAACCTTTTTATGGTGTATTTCGCTCTAATGAAATATCTAATTGTTACTTGGTTAAGTTACATATTCCTCCACAGCTTCTGGATTTTATGTCATACTTTAAAAAT